AATTGTCCGATTTTCTTTTTAGCCGCACGCTTTCGGCTATACATTTAGCCTTTTTCTAGGTTGAAATATATTAACTCTTAACAAAAAATAGTTTGTTGCATGCATGTATTTATATACTTTTTTTATTTTCAAAACACTACCATGATATTCTGTTCATGTTCATAGTTGATATTATTGAGTTTTGTTTTTCTGAAAAGAAACAAGTTATTAGATGACATGAGAAATTGTATAAAAACTAAATGAAAGCACCTTGTCTGTCGTATTCAATGTTATCAAATTTTAGTTCGAAGCTATCAACTTCCATTTTTTCTAGGATTGCCTTATATGTGATAAATTTATTTCCATCTGCTATCTGCATATAAATGATATTTACATTTGTCTGTGTTCGTCAAGTTTAGTATATTTTTGTAAGGAAAGACTGCATAAACAAAATTAATACTGTAAAATAACGCCCAATTCTTACAATTGAGTATTTTTTTTTTACTGAGATGCCTCAAATAAAAAAAGTACTATAGATTACACGACATTCCGCCATGTTTTCCCAAATTATGTATGTGACTTTATAGAATAATCTTTTGAATAACATTTTAAATGTAATTTTGAAAAAGCCAGAATATAAATGTTATGGCGAAATTAAGAGCTGAAAATTTAGTACGGACAATAAAGTATATAAAAAAATGATAGCCATAAAAATTAAAGACAATATGAGCCAATTACAGATGAAAAATTATTGAGCATCCATATCTTACAGAAAATGAAATTGCAATCCTTTAGCTTTGGACTAAAATTTACCACCGTTGTCCAAAAGTTATATATATATATATATATATATATATATATATATATATATATATATATATATATATATATTCATGTGTGTGTGTGTGTATGTATGTGTCTGTGTTTGTGTGCGCACGCGTGTGTGTGTCAGTGGCGACTCTGGCGATCGGGCTTAGCCAAATTGAGTCAAAATTCAAGTATATCTATTTCGAAGCAACACTAAATTTTCGTCGTGCGTCGTTTTCATTCTTGAGCAGGATCCAAAATTGTTTTAATTCCATGCCTGAAAATATTGATCAAAATGAATTTCGTTGATATTGTTCCCAATAAAAAAGAGAGAAAGAAGAAAGTAAGAAGAAAAACAAAACAAAGAAAGAAAATAAGTAAAAAATAGTATGAAATAAAATTATATGACTAGTCGGGTTGCGTAGGTCTGAGCCTGATTGAAGCTGGAGGCATACTCAATAAGCAATTTATTTTTTGCTTTAATTTTATACATAATCTTTTAAAAATCTCTAATGACTTGTAAGCCTTGTTTTTCAAAGAAATCATTTATATTATAACTTATTGTTTACTAATATCCATTTAAATAATTCATTCCGCAGATTTTAAGTTTTTATTTTATCGGAATGCATTTTTAAATTCAGCCCAACTTTAAATTCTTTGAAAATCAAATTGAGTGGCAACCTTAACTCGTCGACTGGAGCGTTGCTGTGAGGAGGGTGACAGGTGTAATGTTGAGGAAATATGATATCACTCAGCCAATAAATTAAAATAAACATTTTCAGCCAGAGAGATACATAAATAAACTAACTCATAGACATATATAAAGACATTACTCAAAGATGCACACGTTATGGTGTATGTTTTGCTTGTTTTAATCTATGCTATATTCATAAGTAAAATGATAAATATCAGGAATCGAACTTATGTAAATATAAAAGTGTACTCAGGTCAACAGCGATCGGCGACAATCTGTTTTAAGCTTTAAAACTATGTTTTAGCCATGTTTGTTGTGTGTTGGCTCGCCTATTTATATATGCGTGGTCAATATTGGGTATATCTGCATCGAATAATCTGCCTAACGTTGGCTTAACAGGGATTAGAAAAAGATAGCAAAAAACAAAAAAAATATCGCTCAGTGCTACGAGGAACAGGAAGTTGTAGAGAAACATGATCCCTCAGGTTCTGAAGAGAGGCACAGCTCACAAAAGAAGAAGAAGAAGAAAAAGAAGAAGATGAAGAAAAAGAAGTTGTTCAAGAACGAAGTATTTTGCGTATCTTTTGAAGTTTAAAAAAAAAATAAAGAATATCCCCAAGAATTTCATATATCCTCATCTTTCTGGTAGACGCCTGCAAATCAAACTGAAGCTATTCTGGTGTTGGAAATACTTCCCATTCAACGCAACATATTAATATTTCACTTAGTTTATGATGACGTAATTTTCAAGTCTAATCTGTAGTCAAGTCATGCTCCTTCCATTTTCTGATGATGACGCTAATTGTACTGATGGTACTTGAGAGAATTCCCATATCTTAGCCTTTATAAATACTTTCGCACGTGTTAGCCAAACTTTTATGACTATTCAATCCACATAGACGTTGTTATTAGTCATGGCACGTAGCAAGAATTAATTATCTTATTATCCCCCGGAAATTTGAAAATTAATACTTTCAATAGAACTCAGTCTCAAACTGCTTTTTTCTTTACTAGGCTTCACTTATTTTCTGAATATTTCCAAAACTTTTGCATGTTCTTTTCTGTTGTATTAATCAATATATCCAAATGTAAACAATTTCACAGGATACATAGTATATCCTAAGTTTTATTACATTCAACTCATGTTTTCTCTTAGTAGCGAGAATAGATACTTTAACTGATACTTTTGCGTGGAACTCTGGGTTATTTTTCAATCTGATGAGGTGCGTGTTTTTCAGACTTGTTTCTATCAATGCTTATGGCTGATTGATAGATTCGTTTTCAATGGCTATTCAACCCATTGCAGGTTATTGAAACACAGCAAATATATCTTTTACATTGTGAGGATACATTTTCTTTTTCTTTATTTTTGGTGGGGAGTGGAGTTAATAATGATTTAGTTATACCAGTCTTAGTAATTAAACAATAAATCGAGATGCGGTGGATTAAATACCATTCCTAAAGATAATTTCCCTTAAGTGAATACAACGAACCCAAAGGGAATTTGATCTTGACTCTCCAAATAACAATTCAGAGCCATTTTCCTTTGCACAATCTCTAGATCCAAGCTTACAGCACTTGGTATTCCAAAGCGATCACCCATCTACTAACTGGCCAGGTTCGACGTTGCTTAACTTCGGTGATCGTTGAGAAACCAGTGTCTCACAGTGATGTTGCCATTAGCCCAATGAACCTAGATAGATAGATAGATAGATAGATAGATAGATAGATAGATAGATAGATAGATAGATAGATAGATAGATAGATAGATAGATAGATAGATATGAAGTGAAATAAGCAATTGAATTGAATAAGAATCACTATCATATATAAGTACTCAATTACGTATATAAATAAATACATGAATAAATGTAGACGTTATATCAACCACTATGAGTTATTAAATTCAGAAAT